TGGCTGGCCCCAGGACTCTGCAGACACAGGAAGGAAGAGTTGTGTTCTTTAATTATGGAAAAAATATTAGAGCACAATGGCCCTAAAATAGAACATGTGCACTGAGCCCTTATTTGGGGGACTTTATTGTTGTGATCATCCCTCTTGGGAACCACCACAGGAGTCTCTTCCCTTTCAGTGAAGCTGGGTAATCGTGTAACCCGAGGTGTCCCCCAAGAGAGCTGCAGGGACGATGTCAACACACAGGCTTGTGAACCATGACTACATTTCCATGCTAAGTGCTGTCCTAAGAGGTCCCTTCCTGAATTTCAATTTCTGTAAAATGGGGACGATCACAAGCCTACTGTCTATCACACTAGGCTATGATAAAGATCAAAGGATATAATGGACGAAAGGATGCTTGCAAATCACAGTATTTAAAAATGTGTACTATTATGCTTTCCAGTAACTGGAAACAAAGACCTCCTCTGGGTGATAGGACCATTTCACTTTGGTTTTTGTTTGTTTGTTAGTTTGTTTGTTTTGTTTTTAAAGGGCAGTCCTACTTTTAAAACTCATACTTTTTTTTTTTTTTTTTTTTTTTTTTTTACGAACAGAACACTAAGTATGTAAAACATTCAGTGTCCACATCAGAGAGTGGGCACAACATTTTGTTGAGAGCAGCCACTTTCTCATCCCTTACACATGCTTAGAAAATTGTCATGACACTCAAGAATTTATCTTCTCCTGGCTGAGTTGTCATCATTGCCCTTATCAGAAGGAACCTAGGAGCCCTGTCCCAAGTGTCCTTGTAATTCGTTTCCTGGTATCTGGTATTGTGCTCAAGGCCACCTTCATCTGTTTTTATTGTTGTTGGAAACCACCAATGGGAACTGCTTCTGATTTCGTGGCTCCCTACATATTTCCCGTATTTGGACCATTATTACAGTGGGCTGGCCTAGCAGGATGGAGGACTTGCCTTAGGGACAATGCTAATGAATCTCTGGAGTCTTCCTCCTGAATATCATTAGGAAGAATGAAGATGCTGTTAGCCACCTCAGCAAGTGTCGCTGACTGTGAGGGACCTGCATGCATACAGCTCCCCGGAAACTCCTTGGTTCACATTTCTGAATTTGTAGTTCATCAGGACTCCCCCAAAAAGTGCTTGGTAAACACCAGGCTTACCAAGAAAAGAGGAGACAGTGATTCTGAAAGAAGATACCAGTTCTGCTGTTCTGATCTCTGTGACAGTTTGGGTTCTAGAAAAAAGCCACAGCACGGTGTGTGTGTGTGTGTGTGTGTGTGTGTGTGTGTGTGTGTACAAGAGCATGCATGTTTTCTGAGGGGGTTGGGAAACCCTCTACAAATCAGCTGCCTCCCTTGATTTGCTCAAATTTCATTTCCATTACTACCAAGACATCTGCACATTTTTCTGCCCAGCCACATTTAATGCATGCACATCAATTCAGCCCTAACCCTCCATTGAGGTCAACCCCCCCCCCCAACCTCAGGGGATATACAATACTCTAAATGGAATATTGAAGATCCCCATCTGTCTGGTAGCCCCGATCAATAAATGTGAGCCCTGCCATCCAGCTCCTGTAGGAGAGACACGTCACCACCTGGTTTTAAGACAAGCGTGAGATGGGGTTTCTCAGGGTTACTGGTCCAAACGCCCAGCTGTCACAGGGCTGAGCCAGGGAAAGGATTATGTTCTTAATCACATTACTTCATTTCTATGGGCTTCTTTTAAATTCCCCCTGTCCCTTTCCCTTCAGCCAAATGGACCAGTGTCTGAAATCAGAGCTGCCTTTCTGACACTTTCCCTTGCTGAATGACTTTGCTTTGAAAGAGCCTTTGTTCAGGCAGCAAACCCCAAGCATTGGGGGTTCTTGGGCATCATGGTTGGCTTCTGCCAAATTGCAAGGCTGAGTACATCTGACATGGAATTTAAGAAAAGAAGTCAGGTCCAATATGTTTGCTCTGGACCCATGAAACACCTAGCCTGGCATCTGTATGAGGAGAGTCACTTCTTAAGCACAACAGTTTAAAGACATCCTGCAGAAACCTCCAGTCTCATTAACAAGCATCCAAGCAAGCAAACACAGCAATTAAAAATCTGGGTTGTCTGAGGTGTTTTTCCCCCCTATCTAAGTGGGGGCAACCCTGGGACTCCAGCTAAAATACTTGCTACACCTGTTCAACCTCTGTTGCCTCCTCCCAACACCAGTATAGACTGAGTATGGCTGATGGCACCAGATAAATATAAGGTTGCCCTGGAATCATGGCTTACCTCACACCCTTGCCTTGGCAGAGATAAAGTTTTTGAGTGTGCTTAGCTGGGAAAGCGCAGGACCTGTGAAGAAAGACCAAGGTTGAGATGCCCTGGAAGGGGGGCATCAGGTCTGTCTATCAAATGTTGCTCTGAGGATCTGAGTGAATGGGTAAGAGGCGATGGATGTGTGTTCTGCTCAGCTGTTCTCTGTCAGCTTTGGTACCACAAGCCAACCCTTCCCTCAGTCCCATCTTCCCCCATGATTATTTTTTAAATGGACCAGCTGTGGGCCATCCTATCAGTTCTGTGAGAGGACACTTGGGGACAACTGGGCAGGACAAACTTGCCAATCATGTAAGAAGGAAGCTGTTGTCTGGCCTTGGAAGGACAATTTCAGAGTAACTTTCTGTTTGCTACACTCAGGGCTGGATGTGGGCTTTCCTCTTAAGTTGCCCCTATCAATGGGGCCTATCATTTGACATGTTTCCAACTGCTTGCACCTATGCCTGGGGACCAGCTATTTGCTGCATTACTGCCAGGTAGATGGAGGCATGTGTTGCTGCTATACATTCTCCAAGCAGGGATTGGGCGGGGGGAGGGGAGGCATGCTCTGGTACTGAGCAGTTGAAATTCTAGCACCTTGGTCTTCTAGTCCATCCTCAGCCTTGTCCTCACAGGATCTCACAGGCCCTGCTCAAGGCAAACCAAACCTTTCCTTCCCCAAACATGACACAAGCTGCCTTTGCTTAAGCTAGCCACTTTCTGAGCTAGGTGGCCAGAGAATGCTTCCTTTAGTGGCCAGCTCAAAGTTGGCCAAGGGACCTGGTTTTGGGGAACTTTTTCAGAACTTGGTCCTTACCTTTTAGTGTTGATTAAGGGAGCTATGCTAATCCCTCTGTGCAAACGAGGGGACGAAACCAGTCAACTCTGTGTCCAGTGTGCTGGTACTATGGATGTACTTCAAGATGCACAGCTAGTGAATATAGCCAATCACATGGTATGCTTATAAGAAAAACCCACTGTGATACCCATTCACTAGATACAATGAGTACATACCAATCAAATGTGCATTAAGAAAAAAAGGAAAGCAAACACACTCAGAAATGATTTATGGAAGGATGACTGGGCCGGTCCAGGAGACAACTCTAGATGTGAACTGAGACCCATTCTACAGCTTCTCATACTCAAAATGGCTTAGAACATGTTTTTACTACCAAAGTCACAATAAAATATCGACAAGGACTTGTTTAAATAATCTTTCTTAAAAGTCTCCAGAGGGGGAAACCTGACATAGGCATTTCATAACACTATCCTGGGGCTGGGGTGGGGGAGGAAGCTCTTCATCCCAGTGTGACTCCAGCCACCTCCCCAGTTATAAGACAGAAATGCTAACAGGGAGCAAAATCCAGCGACCTCCACTTTATCCATATGTAAGAAGGCTGGAGTCACATCTGTGCAAGGATCTATTTTTAGCGGACCCTTCACACTAAAATCCTAGCCTTGATCTCTAACTATCAAGTCTACCATAAATGTTTGATGATGAACAAACCCATAAAAAGAAAGCGCAAGAAATGAATAGAGTCAACCAGTGCCCTGCCTTTTTAATTGCAGAAGCTTCTGCTACAATCCTGCTCCAGGCTGGGTGCAGGCAGAGAAAACACATCAATAAGTTGGGTGGAGAGAGCAGGGTGAGGATACTGCAAACAAATATGTCTAACGACATGGTTATTTATAGTGTAGAAACCAGATAGAGGCAGGAGAGAATCGTCCTAAAAGGGCAGGGGGCAGGAGAGTGGCTAAAAAAAAAGATAAATTGAAGACATAAAAGCATTCAGGACACAAAAGATAACATGGAACAGTCTGGTTTTATTACTCGTAAGTAATAAAGAGCCCTTTCCTCAATTTTTCTTTCTTCCCCCTTTTTCATTCTGCTTTTTTCTTTTCTTTTTCTTCTTGCGTTTTTCATAACATACATTAAACTGTGAATCAGATGTTAGGGTGTGTGGAAACGGGAGGAAAACTGGTGACATCACAACATTTTTACAACGTCACAACCAACGTTAAGTCCAAGTTTGCTGCATCTACAGGCCAGCTCAGTTCTATGGATGACACCCCCAACACAAGATGAGGGCAGAAAGGGAGAGGGACACTTCAATGCTGAAGACCAGCTCAATACACGTGGCACTGCAGGGTTAACACCGAAAGTAATGGGTTGTGGATACAGGGATGTGGGTTTTGACACAGGACTCCATAAGACAGCTGAGGAAATGATGCCCATTAGCATGGGCATGGGGTTGGGAGATTGGGGCAATACTCTTGGGAATGTAACACTGGTGAGAAGGTCACAGGGTGGCTGACACCCATTACCTTTTTAGTTTTTGTGTTTGTGAAGAAAAGGCAAGGGGGAAGACTGTATCCATTTCTAGAAAGTCTACGTGGTTTCAGGGCACAATGGTTACAGGCCATGAACTAAAAGGCAAAATAAACCAATGACATCTTATGTGCCCCAAGCAACAACCTCACTGATCTGCAATGGGACTCTGGGGACAAAAGGCTGTGCACCTGTCCTCAGCTGTACAGTCGGGGCTCTGTGAGACTGCTCTGGTTGCAGATTTGCAGATATGATACAGTAACAAGCCAATTCAAATTTGTTCTTGTCAATTTTTTTTTTCCTGAAAGTTTTTTTTTTCTTCTTCTTTTTAAGACACACTAAATCCAGACCAAACTGGAAAAAGAAAGAGACCGAGACCACCGAATAAACTGTTTATATGAAAACAATGCTCATGGTTTACAGTGTGCAGACAATTCTTTTGTTTATGATGGAGTAAACAAAGGTTCCTTTTGTGTGCTTTAGCAAAAGAACAATGAGGGGAGAAAAGAACAAAACAAAACCGCACACGTTACCCCCTCCCAACCCTCTACAAACAACAAACAGATAAAGGAATTTAAAACAAAAGAACCTTTGCCCCAGAAAATGGGTTTTGCAGCATCCATTGTGGTTTGCCTTGTATTTTGGGGTACCCATTAATCACAGCAGGGACCAGCCTGCCCCGTCTATTTCCCTGTTTTTTCTGTGCATTGCATGGGTGTGGTTAAGGCACAGCGTGGAGACTCCTCCCACTGGCCTCCCAACCACCACAGTAAGTTCTCCAGTCAGTGGACACAGCAGAAATGACGGCTGGGACTTGAGTCCCTCCTCTGCTGGCTCAGGAGGATGTCACCATATTGAAATGATCTGGGGATATAAGGGGAATGGAGAGCTTTGGGGAAGGGGACTTGCCACCCACAACACTGGGGGTCCACGCTTGCAGCACAGCCAAGTGTGGTTGGAGCTGGCACGACCGAAGGCATCGTGAACTAAAGGATGCCACCCAGCCTTCGGCATTACAACCATCACTACTGCGTTCTTTTTCCATCTGCTTGACTCCAATCTTCCAGAGGGCTGAGTGAAGGGTGGGATTTAAATAAATATCTGCATTTATTTCAAGTAGGAAAAAAAAAAGTTGATCATAACGACAGTTTACAAGTGTATACAACTCAGCGTGTAAGGCACAAATTTACATGTGGAAAACAGGCTATTCACAGATGTAACCCCACGAAAAACCCGTGTGATCAAATCATTGATTTATGCAAGGTAGCAGCCAGCATGTTAACTAGTTCACACAGTTTGTGGATTTTTGTTTGCTGTCTCACATGCAAGGTGAAATGGGTTGTGGGCGGGAGGCTTCACAAGCTGGTACCTTCATGGCAGTGGGAGCCACAGTCAAAGCCATGTTTTTGGCAATGGGGCATAGGTGCCGTTCTAAACGTTTCTGTCCTAGTTGGTAGTTAGGATCTGGAAGAATTTTTAAACTTTTTTTTTTTTTCATTGAACAGAGACTGAACTGACAAATTAACTGGGAGATTTAAATAAATATTCCCCTCTTAGTACTGTCCTTTAGCTACTGACCTGGGAGTCCAAACACAAAGCTCAGAATTCCAGCTCCAACTTATTTACTCAGTGAATTTATTGTAAAAATAAAGAAACTCAATTATTCCAGTTAATGGATTTCACGTTAAATAGTTTAGCTTTCCATGGGCTTCTGCAGAACTGTTCATACGGTGGCAATTGGAAGAGTCTTTTCCTTAAGGAAAAAGAAAAGGGTGAACAATAAATAAGAATTACTTGCGTTAACGGTCACGTTATTCATTAAAAGCGAAGAGGAGCAGAAATCTATGACATCGTTGCCCAACGTGGCATTTACCTGCAATAACAAAGCTGTAACACTGATGGGCATTTCACAGTATCTGCGCATAGTAAACTTCTGCCATTGTTAAAGTCTGAGTTAGAATTATCAATGAATTCTTTATTTTTTTCAATTTTCTTTTTTCTTTTTTTTCTTTTCTTTTCTTTTTTTTTTTTTTTTTTTTTTTTTTTTTTTTTTGAAAAATGTATTGTGTTTTAAAGTTTCGAACGCTTAGCCCAGTTTCGTAATGTCCCGTGCAGCCAGGGACAAAATGTTGTGGTGGTTCACCTCTGTGTATGTGTGTATGTGTGAGGTGTGTAGTGCACGCTTGTGAGTACTGGGTGTGTTCATGTGGGGATGGGGTACGGATGTGCTTTTGGCTCATGTTTGTGTGACACTCAAGTCTTTTGCGAGTCCGACCTGCTGTACGATGTGGGGGAGTGTGAAGGAAGAGAATGGAGGTGACTGTTGCTAAACCTTCATCAAACCACATGGCCTGATTTTCAACAGTGTCCCTGTGTCCCAGGGAGGAGGACCCAGAGTCCTCATCTCCTCCAGGGCCATCTTGGTCGGTTGGATACTCGAGGCAGTGGAGACCTTGCTGAGTTGGGTGGGTGCCTCGCCTCATTTGATGCTTCGACTCCTGGTCCCCAACTCCAGGGATTATGTACAAGCATCATTGGGCTTCATGGATGTGGAAAGGGGAGCAAAGGAGGGTTTGGGGGGTACATCTGGCTTTAGCGAGGGGGTGCGCTTTAGCCCCGACCTCGTCAGTGAGTTGTAGGCATTGAGGCTGGGCTGCCTCGAAACAGTCACGGCCTGGCCGGGGGGCTGGGAGCTGTGCACCTGGATAGAGTCCACCCGCTGTGGGGCGGGAGGTGGATTGTCTCCCCGGCCAAAGCTCTGGTTCCTGGAGAGGTGGGAGGAATTGGAGGAGTTAGTATTGTTTCTTTTGAGAGTGGCGGCCTGGTGGCTTCTCGTGAGCGAGTTCGTGGGGTAGCTCCTCTTATACTCAAGCCCGTAGGAAGAGGAGTGATGCATTTCTAGGCGCTTGCTTAGGCCGGTCTGTGACAGTGAGGCTCCTGGGGGGCCCAAGGAGGCCTCGCGCTGCGGAACTTTGGGGGGCAGGCTGTCCAGGTTCTCCACAAGGTTCACCCCGTGGTTGGGACTCTTGCTGCTCAGGTGCTCTTTGATGGTCTTATACTCCAGGGTGGCAGCCTGGTCCTCCAGCGCCATTTGAGCCACCACCTCGCTCATTTTGGGCTGATCCACATACTCATGCTGGTAACCCTGCTGCGTGATGGGCAGGACTACCACGCTAGGGATGTGGCTTGGGGAGGCCCGAAGGGGCAGGTCCGTGGGAATCACAGGGGAGCTCATAGGAGGCATGTCCTTGGTGCAGGCATTGATGAGGTTCTGGTTCCTTTCCCACTCGCGGCTGCCGCGGTTCGGCTTCCGCTTCTGCTGCAGCGTTGGGGTGGATTCTGGGGTGGGCAGGGCAGTGAGATCTAGGTGATGCTGATCAGCCTTGATGAGCATCTTGGCGGTGTTGCTGGGCGTGGCCAGCTTGCCGTTGTGCATGAGTGGGGTGAGGATGGCCTCGGGCTTTGGGTCTTTGGACTGGGTGTCTCCAAAGAGGCCACTGAGTTTGGTAACACTGCTCATAGATCCCCGACGCGAGTGTGTGAGTTCTTTCTCTTTGCGTTGAACTACTGCTACGTCTTTGCGCCGGTGATCACACACACAATACACGATGATGCCCGAGAAGGCGGCCCCCATGACAAAAGCCAGAATGACAGCGATGGCCAAGAGGGTGACAGGAACGAGCTGGTCGTTGCTTTTGAGGTAACTTTCCCGAATCACTCCTGTAACAGATATCGCACATGACATTAAGAAATGAAAAAACATACTGTGAGGCTTAACTGGTGTTTGGCAATCACACTGTTAATTAATAACAGAAATAAGTGACAACAGCACCTCTACATAGCTTGTCTTCAGGGCGCAGCTTGCCAAACATTAACTAATTAATCCTCCCTGCCCCCATACCACCCCAGCCAGCCCTGGGACCTATGTCAATTAATTTTATTTGTTGTCTTCTTTGTGGCTTTCAGTCTCTCTGGTACAACTTCTAAGGATGATGGCACGTTCAAAATTTATTTGTCTTTTCCTTTTGATCTTTTCCACCTTCTACAGAATTAGAATAAATGAGCTATTTTGAGTCTGTAGGAAGTAGCAACAATTTTATGCATGTTAAATGAACAAATCACATAACAATCCAAGCCTTCCACTCAAGTCTTTTCTGATGACTGCCGGTGACAACAGGGGCTCTGTCTAGAGAAAGGCATGTTTGCTTTTGAAGTGACAAGAGGATAGTGGCTTTATGTCACCACAGTGAAAAATAGCTGAAGCTCACAGGTTACAATATTTACATTTATTTTGCATCAAAAAGGAAAACCCACACGCAGTTTCAGGTAACTAAGCAGCAGCAGAGCTGAAAGAATATTTAAATCAGGGCCCGTGGTGGGCTTGTAAAGTGTCAGGTCCCATTATTACTCTCAGGGTTTGCTGTCACCGTGAGACTCTTCAGCAGAGCTGATCTCGTCGATTTAATAAAAACTAAGTGGCTACCCCCGTCTATTATCTTCCACAACATTAACCAAGAAGCCTCATTTCTGGGAAAAAAAAGTTGCCTTTTCTATCCTGATTAATCGGTCACCAAGCTGAGTGGCTCTAATCAAATGCAAACACTGGAGCTTTTATTTTTTAATGCCAAGTGTGAACAGACACCACAACCCTTAGTGCTTGATGCCAGTAGCTAAAAAAAATAAAATCTCAAATACTTCCATCCCTGCCTCTGGAGAGTGAAAAAGCATGAATACATTAGAGGCGCTGCAGAAGGAAATGTAAACACCGTTCCTGTTATGGAAAGATGGCAAGACAGAAAATGTACCTTGTCTCGTCTCTGGAGACACATTTTTCACCTGCTAAATCAACTCTTTCTGGAATATGTTTAATGCATTTTACTGGCAAGTGTAAGTGGCACTGAATTAAAATGAAATGAAATAAAAATCTCTATCCATTCCCAAACTCATATCACTCATCCCTTAAACTTTTGCTGATTGCTGCTGTTATATTTTAAATGTCACAGCCCAGACCCAGAAGAAATACAGTTCTGTCATGAGGGGTTTTCTGACTAAAATATTTTGATTGCTTAAGTGATGGTTTAGAAACCCAGAGGACCTTGCTGGAAGATCACACTCTTCTCTCCCAAGGATCTTCTCGGATGGTGACATCACCTGTGCTTGCAGGCGGAAATGGCCATCCTGTGTCAAAGCATTGTGACTTCCAGTGGGAGTAAACTAAAGTAGCAAACACCTTTTAAGATGCAAAATTTTATGATTAAACAAATACCCTTGGGGATGAGGGACCAAGGTGCCCCACGAACACAAGTGCAAGATGGTAAGCTATTGAATAATTTCTTAACATGACACTTCCCAGTATTTCCAGACTTATCTTCAGGGGCTTTGTAAGGGGTAAACACCAAAGAGGGGAAGGAGGGGGAAAAAACCCAGCAAGGAAATGTGTTCTAACTCACACATTATATGTATGATGCTCCCCAGACATGGGGTGTCTTACATTCAAATATTTTAAATACCTATGCCTGAAAGAAAATGTGCTAATGAAAAGTTCTTCCTAAAATTTGCATTTTCTTATTGTTGTGTTAAAATAGCAACTGATTTTCCTCCAGTGTTGATTGAATGTGAAATTCTGTCGAGCATATTCTTAACTTCCTACACATAATAGCACAAACAAATGTGTACACCTGTGAATAAAATGGTTTCTTTTTTCTTTTTTCTCTTTCTTATTGACTTGATGAGTTCCATGGTTCTAGGTGAAAGTTCTCATCACGGTGGGCATTTCACAGAGTCCCTCTAGGTGCTCATATTTAGTGGGAGACTGTCTTCCCAAGAAATGTTTAATTATTAGAGGAAGTTGCTTACAATGGACTTTGGTTTTCCAGAGCTTAAATGGCTCTCACTTTAAGACTGTCAACCTTCCAAATGCTGAAACCCTTCAAAACAGTTCCTCAAGTTGTAGTGACCCTCGACCATAAGATTATTTTCATTGTTACTTCGTAACTGTACTTTTGCTACTGTTATGCGTTGTAATGTAAATATCTGGCATGCAAAATGGTCTTAGGCCACCCTTGTGAAAGGGTTAGGTGACCCATGTGAAGGGGTCATTGGATTCTCAAAGGGTTCAAGACAAACAGGTTGAGAGCCACTTGTTTAGAAGGTACAAGCACTAAATCTGAGTGTTGAGACCAGATATCAGAAGGACTCCCCATTTAACGTCTTCCCCCAATTGACTCAGTAACAAGGTGCAGTGTATTTTATTTCATTACAGCAAGCTTGGTGATCAGTAAGAAGAACACAAGGGAGCTACTTCCTTCACCTTGTCCTTTGTGTATGTCTAGATGTGTATAGGGACAAACAGTAAGTCAGAAGGCTGGCGCCAGGAAATAATGGTCTTTGTTCTGAAGACTTGAAAATCAGAAAGCCATCTTCTAACTAAAGCATCCTAACTAGCTGTGTGTCATTTGGCCACACACCTCCACCTCTAAGAAAATACCAACAGGTCTGCAATCCAATCTCCTATACAAAACACTACCAAGTCAGCCCCTCCTCCTGCAGGTTGCCTTCTTATGAGAAGGTGGTCCCTTATCTCAAAATGAGTTCACTCATGTAATTGAGTTCATCTCCTAGCAGCCCCTTGCCTGTTGACATGCCCTCCCCACCCTGCAGCCAGCACAGCATGACTTCAGTACAATAAGAACATTGGATTTGCTTCATTGGGAGTTCTGTGCAATTATCTCATTTATCCATTACTTCTTACCCATAATTTCTACTCCTAATATTCTTTCCTGTCCAAAGGTCTTTAGCCACTCCCTCTTTTACCAGCAAAGACTTTTTTAGCTGATGACATTTGAGTTCAGGTTTCTGGTTGTTAACAAGTCAAGTAGGATATGACCTTTCAGGAAAATGGGGTGGCTATTTTCTTCAACCTCATTTTGCTGTGTAAATAGTACCCAAAACAAAACAAAACAAAACACCTTTCTGTATCTCTTCATCTTTTAGGTGACTGAAGCTGAGGGTGGTATGTTTTGCTCATCTGATAAGACAGATTCAGAAACCCTAAGCTCCCTGTTCAAAACAGAACAGACAGTTAATAGTGATGCTAGTAAAGGGGATTGTATTTTTGTGTACACCATCAACAAAGGAGTGTTCATGGCAATGATTAAATTAACTTTGTAATCTAGCCGCAGTGAAGGCTTGAACTCAAAGCTGTTGAAGAGGCTCAGTGGGGCTGAGCCTCAAAGGGTCTGAATGAAGTCTTGGGTCCTCATCTATAAACTAACTGATGACATTTGAGGGAGTGACTTAACACCTCAGGACCTGTTTTCTCGTCTATAATGTGGGGCCAACACTAAATGTAAGAAGAATCCACAAAAGGTTCATGGGTGTTGGAGAGCTTCAGAACAGTAAGTCAACAACAACAGCTCTGGTTGAGTCTGCCAATTATCCATCTCCCCAGGGAGGTAGATAGACACATCCTTCCTGCTCTACATGCTGTCCAAATGTGGCCAGAGATGAGAGAAGACTCAAGTCAACACAAGACAATGTTTTCATTTCAGGGCAGCTTGTAGGTCCTGAACTTTGAAATAATTAAAACAGAGCTGGAAAATATTGAACAAAACCCAGCAAGGACAGTTAGACTCCCTGTGGACTAATAATCCCATTTTCAGGTCCTTGAAGCAGTCACCATGCTATTTGCAGTTGTCAACCTGGCCTTCCGTAGGACTCAGAGTTATGTAGTTTAATAAGTGACTATGGAACATAAGGATTTCCAATACATTTTAGGGACATTTTAGAATACATTTCTAAACCTTGTGATTTATCTTTGGATTGCCTATATAACCTTGATTTGTATGCCTCAGAAAGAAACAATCTTCGATTTTGATCATTTTGATAGTAACAACCATCAGACAAATAAAGAGAGAGATGTATAAAGGTACCCAGGTATTTGCTCAAAACAGTAAGAGGAGAAACTGTCTTATAAATGAAGCAAAATTGGCTCTGGGATAATTTCAAAGAAGTCTATGAGGGTGAAATGGTGATTTGTGACAACTGATGCTCCAGTGAAATTGCTTAATTGGAAACAAATGCCTCTCTGCAAAGGGCCAAGGGCCATAGGCTGGGGCTGGAATGAGCATCCATATGACGTCTCACTTGCCCAAGTGGCCCACATGGTCAAAGAAAATAGGTCTCTTTGGCATGCTTTCTATCAATCCCTGGGACCTCTGTTCTCAACCAATGGAAATGGGGCATTAGGAATGAAAAAACAGTATCTGAGAAATGCTTTGCATTGATTCATTAACCACCAGCTATTTCTCACCAGTCATAAGGTGCTAAATGGATCTTCACTTCCTCCTTCCTATGGCAGGAAGCAAGGAGCACAATGGCATAGCGAGTTCTCTGAAACCAGGCCTTAAACTGGCAGAACTAAGAAGGGTACAGTGTCTGTGCTTTTTTTCTTTTTCTTTTCCTGAAGAAAGAGTTTTCAGGTTGCTCCCTGGAGCTCTCAGGGAGGGAATTTGAAGCTCTTTAGAGGCCAAAGCAATGAAAAGATTATGAATGCTACTGCCCCCAGGCCCTGCAACACACCATTCAAAATAAGAGCAATTATAGATTGTAATATCAAAAGGAGCCCATACAGTTCTGAATTTTCCCATGATGACCTTGCAAATGAATTCTGAAATGTCAGAAACTTGGTCCTCTGTTTAGAACAGTGGCTTTGGTAGGCA